GCCCCCGCGCACGCGCCCCTGCCCCACACTGAAAAATGTAGAAAACTTCTGGGTTTGAGGAGAGAAGGGAGCAGGGCAGGCACAGGGGAACGCAGCAGCCAGGGAGCGAGGACAAACCCGCGGAGAATCCGCTTTTTGCGCTCCAAAGCCTTAAGAAAACTTCTGTTGGGGCAGTGCGGGCCGCTGGAAGGTCCGCGGGACGGGACGGGGGCGCAGGCTGCTCTCCAGCTTCAAATGATTCCTGTGGGGGCTGAGAAACGGGAAAAGCCGCCTCCGAGGGGAGGGACGTGGAGGGATGCTGCTTAAAACTGGGAGAAATGGGTGAAAATGATATTTATATTTATATAATAAATGGAGGAGGGCAGTGGAAGCGGGGGCATGCGAGTATATAGCAATACTCCTATTTTCTACACATAGGTGTGAAGAGCAAGACGCTTCCATAAGTGCCTAGGCAAATCCACCCAAATCTACGGTTGACTTTACATGAGGAATGATTCTGCGGTTCTTTTTATCTCGAACTTCTTCATCTTCTTCTTCTTTTTAATAAATGGAGTTCCAGCTTAATAATTATAACCCTGTGCGCTCATAAATAACAACACAAAAGGGAGACGGGGCCGATTTTCCTGCCCAGAGCCGCGTCTCGCTGATGTCCGTCCACGCAGGGAGCATTTTCTGTTCGAGGTTGCTCTGATTTAAAGCAGGCGAGGCCGGGATCGCATCAAGCAGCATCGGCCAAGTCCTGGGGCTCGTCCTGGGCTTTTTCTCCCCGCTCCTGGTTTTCCAAGCCCCCCCGGTCGCCATGTTACTGCCAGGCATTCCCAGAAACCGGTGAAACCTGGGAGAGAGCGGCTCCCACGCTCCCCTTTCCAGCAAATCCCCCCACCCGCCGCTCTCATTTGCGCTGCGGCGTTAAAGAAACAGCCCCGAATTCGCCTTTAACGATGGGCGCAGTCCGCGCTGCCGTTTAAACGTGCGAATTTCTCGTTACGAAGCGATTCTCTCCCTTCTCCACGAGTGGGAGGAATTTTTCCCTCCCCACCCGCCTTGCCCAAGAGGCGGTTTCGTTCGCCAGAGCCGCTGCTCGTGCCCGGGCCGCCCGCTTCGCCCTCAGCCCCGCGGCAGAGCCCGGGCAGGGCCCGAGTCTGAACCCCCCAAAAAGCCTCTTCCACATGGAGGGCAAAAATGACCGCAGAGCCAACCGTTAATTCTGCCTTCGGTCCTGATCTGCCGCCACCGAGAAAGTTGACGCTGATTTCGATTAGTACGAACAGAAGCCGCCGCATATGAAATATTCTGGGAAAGGTTAAAGCCCTCGCTCGACTGGGTTTTGCAAGTGTGTCTTTATTTTCTTCACCCCTTCGCTAAACTGCATTTCGGCCTCCGGTTCAGCTTTCGATGCATTATGCGCTGCTCTGAAGCCCCCACCACCCACACGGATGCTTTAAGTGACAAAAGTTTCTAGGGCTCCCCCGGCGCTAGGGCCCCCCCGGCGTGAATGGCACTGCCAGCCCCCCCCCGCCGCAAAACGGGGAAGCTGGGGCTTGAAAAAAACAGGAACCGAACGGATTTCCATCTAATAACAAAGAGATTTGAAATTTATTTTATTTTTCATGAGAAATTTAGAATTTCTCGATATCAAGAATCAAGACTCAGGTTTAAACATTTTGAGCTCGTCTTTAAGTGACTCTTTAGCAAAAGCCAAAACTATTTGCTGAGTGAGCCAGGCCGACCTGTCAAAAGTCTTTCGAGAAAAAAAGATTGATGATTTCTCTCTTCTTTTTGGTTTGTGTGGATCCGGCCACTTTAAAAGGGAAAAAAATAATGGGAAATGACTTTTCATTGTATTTATTTATTTTGTAAACTCTGGAAAGGGAGCTCTTTAATGAAGAGGGGAAGAGGATGGGAGGGAAGAAATGTGATTGCAAAGATATCCATGACCTTAAAACATGTTTTGCCTTGAAGGAAAGTGTAAGGGGCCATTAAGACTTTGGAAGCATCAGGATTATGTTCGCTCTCGTTAAAAGTGATTTAACGGGGACCAGTCAGGCCGAGCTACCTAAGCGTGGCTGGAAAGTTCACTTGGTTTCCTAAGTGCGTCATACCCGGGCGCAGAAACCAAACGGCGACCCCAAACCTGCTGCTGCCCCCCCTAACGGGTGAAGGCACCGACCGAGTCCCGCTTCTGGTGCCCGCCCGGGGGCTCGGCCGCGGGTGGCCCTCCAGGGGACCCCCATTTCCACGGTCGCCCCTTCCCTCCCCACCCCCGGGCTTGAAGCTCCCAGGAGCTTGGGGAGCGCCTCGGAGCCCCGCGACGGGCAGGGAGGCGGCCGGGGGAGGCAGAGGAGGGAAGGAAGAGCATGGAAGGCAGGGGAGGGAAAGAAGAGCAAGGAAGAAAGCACAGGGAAGGCAGGAGAGGGAAAGAAGAGCAGGGAAGGAAGTAGAAGGAAGGCAGGAGAGAGAGAGGGCAACCGGTGAAGGCAGCCCCAGCAGCCCCGATGCAACCGCCGGGCAGGATTGCCGTGCGGGCAGGAGACTTTTCCTGGGGATTTTCTCTCTCTTTTGCTTTTAATCAATTAAAGAAAATAATGCTTTCTGTTTGCCACCAGGCCCCGCCTGTCATTGGCCGGGGGTGGCCACGTGACCAGGAATTGGCTGCAATTTCGCCCCAGTCTCGAGTTTAATAGAGCAAGGTCCCCATCCGCCTGTATTATCAGCAATATAACAATTATAAAAAGCCCGAGAACCATCATCATCACTGCCATAAAACCCGAGGCCCTCAGATTTCTCTCCCTCTTCCCCTCCTCCCTCCTCCCCCTCCCGCTTTTTAAACCCCGGGCCCTGGAAAAGCCATGAATTTTGAATTTGAGAGGGAGATCGGGTTTATAAATAGCCAGCCTTCGCTCGCAGAGTGCCTGACGTCTCTCCCCGCTGTCCTGGAGACATTTCAAACTTCATCAATCAAGGACTCGACATTAATTCCTCCTCCTTTTGAGCAAACCGTCCTCAGCCTGAATCCTTGTTTCAGCAGCCAGGCAAGACCGAGGAGCCAAAAAAGAGCATCCCATGGCCTGGGGCAGCCGCAGCCCGCGCCGCCCCCCCCCGCCGCTGCCGAATTCCCCTGGATGAAGGAGAAGAAACCGGCCAGGAAAGCGACCCCGGCTCCATCCTCCTCTTCATCCTCTTCTCCCCCAGCGCCTTCCTCGGTGCCGGTGTCCACCGCGGGAGCTGCCGCAGGTTGGTACAGCGAGGGGGTGAGGGGGGTGTTCGCCGAAATAGGAGAGGATCCGAATAGGACCCCCCCCACAACAGCCCTGCCGCTCCCCCCCGCAACTGTGTCATGCAATAAAGGAGATGGCACCAATTTGCCCGCGGGAGCGGGTGGGATATTTCTCCTGCCTCCTCCTCCCGCAAATGAAAATCATTTTGCGGCAACTCCAGGGGAAGCAACCGCGAGGCTTCGGCCCCGGCCCCGCGGCTGGGCTCCATTTGCTCGACTTTTCCTCCCAGCCCTGGATTTTTTTGTAGGCTACGGGAGAAGA